TAATTTCCTAGTTTTTCAAGAAATTGTGACAAACAATACAGCCTAAAATACCTCATCATGCCTCTAACTAAATACCTAGAGCAAAAAAAAAAATGTCATTTCGGAATATCCGTACTGTCCTGGCATTTTAGGGTCTCAAAACAAAGTAAATAGGCATATAAATAGATAGAAAGTCCATACATAGATTGATCAGTTTTCAAATACACATTGTGTATATATTGTAATGCATATATATAATAAAGTGCAGCGCTTAATAAATATATCAATAAATTAGTAACTGGATGTGAGTTCATGCAATCAATAAGTAAAGTTCAACAAATGGCACATGTGATGATCTTCTATGAGGCAGATATCTCACTAAACTTGTGACTGGAAACAATGGAAGAAATTCGCACTCACTGAAAGCGCATGGATAAAGCGCATATAAGTATATAACCACCAGGTAATGATCTGTGATGGACGGATGGTGAGCTTCCTTCTAGGTAATGGTCATCAAGCTTGGGTTAATATGAGGATCTGCTGGGTCCAGAGGTCCCCTTAAGGATAGACGGGCACTCAGCCTGGATACAGGGCTCCCTCCTCTGGATTCTGAATATCATTGGAACTCTCTGTGGGTTTAGTAGCTCCACATAGGAGCCAAAAAAAAAGTGCCAATAGTATAGTATTGACGTCACGCTCTGTCAGCTCCTCCTAAGGCCTTTCGAGCTATGGCACATCATCAGAGGGGAGGCTGAACAGTAGCGTGACAGACGTCAGTAGTATAAATAGGAGAAACGGCGTGTGCGCATTAAGCCACCGCCATTTTTTCGGAGAATATGGAATGCACATGCGAGTTCCCAAAAGCGCCATTTTGCCGTGGATCCACGATTGAAGAGACGCATAGGCAGTAACTCCTTGTCTAGCATGTGAAAACAGATGGCGATAGACTCCACAGACCCCAGGGGAATTACCATGTTCAATACAATAAGCAGATACTATTAGAATTCCATATTAACAGGTACATATAAAATCAACCTTAAAACACCAACAATAAATAATGTATATAAAGAATGTATATAAAACATGTATACAAAATCGTATATAAAAAAAGATCAGTGTGCTCATAAAAATTCAAATCAGCATCTCAAATTTCCATAAAAGTCTAGAATGATCAGAGTTACATCAGCCAATATTAAAATAAAAAACGATAAATAGTAGGTACCATCAAATCGTAAATAAAAGAGGAAATGAAAAAATTCATATAAAAATCCCAAATACGTAATAATAATAAATCTCATAAGAAAATAATCTTATAAAAACATAACTACTATCTCCAGTGATCAGATTGATCAAGGTTGGACCCCTGTGGTAGATATTTAATAACCATAAAAAGAAAAAATATAATGTATCCATAAAAACACCAAAATATAAAATAGAAACAGTAAAATCTAAAGGATAATAAATGTATATATGTAAAAAACATGTACATGGTCAAAGACCAGAAGGGGGGGGGGGGAGAAAAACCTCAACTATTGGTAATAAAGCAGTTGACATCAACTTCTATATTGTGTCCCAAGGGGTATGAAGTATCCAATTCAAATACCCATTTGGTATCTGCTTGTGAGACAGCTCTTGTTTTATTGATACCCCTCCAGTGGTTGTTGATGATATCAATTCCCACGAATTTAAGGGAAGATGGATCCTTATTGTGGTGCAGCTGGTAGTGATTCGACAAGGAATGTTCTCTGAAACCCTTTTTGATATTTGATACATGTTCGCGTAGGCAATCACGTAAAATTCTTGTTGTACGGCCTCCATATTGTTTCTGGCAGGGACATTGTAGTAAGTATACCACAAATTTGCTGTAACATGAAATAAATTGTTTTATATCATAAGATTTATTTGTAACAAATGAATTAAATGTATCAATCCTATGCTTCCTGGTGTTATTGCACTTGCATATGACGCACCTATTACAGGGGTGGAATCCCTTTAGGTCATTAAAAAGGGAGATATTTCTAGGGGGGTCCACGATATTAGGTGCAATTTGGTGTCTAACACCCATGGCTTTCCGGTAAATAATTTCCGGTTTTTCAGGTAGGATTTTTGACAGTACGGGATCCATTTTCAGGATGTCCTAGTTTCTATTGATAATTCTACTGATATGTTTGTGTTGTATCGAAAAAGTGGTAATGAAAGGACATATTTGTGCTTGCCTCATTTTCGGTTTACTCAATAACATAGCATTTCTGTCTAGTTGGGCGACAGTCTGGATAGTGTTTTCAAAAATTGTCTCGTTATACCCTTTTTCTAGAAACCTATCCTTCAAAGTGTTGGCTTGTAATTGAAAGGTATTCACGTCCGTGCAGTTGCGTCTTATCCTCATGAATTGGCCCTTTGGAATATTTGCCAGCCAATTGGGGTGATGGCAACTGTCAAGAGGGATGTAACTGTTTCAGTCCGTGGCTTTAAAAAATTATTTTGTAATGATTCTCCCATTAAAATTGATGAGTCAGGTCTACAAAATTCATTTCATGTTGGCTATAAGTGTAGGTAAGATTGATTTTAAGATTATTATTATTCAGGGTAGTGAAAAAAAAGTTGATAAGTGATTCTTCTTCCCCATCCATAGGAGGAAGATATCATCTATATACCTCTTGTACATCAACAATTCAGGCCAGTCCCTAGCGTAAATCAAATCTTGTTCCCAGCGGGACATGAATAAGTTGGCTAATAGTTGAGTTTTTTTTCTCCCACCCCCCCCCCCCTTCTGGTCTTTGACCATGTACGTGTTTTTAACATATATACATTTATTTTCCTTTAGATTTTACTGTTTCTGGTGGTTCATCCCTATCCTAGTCTATTTTATATTTTGGTGTTTTTATGGATACACTTTTTTTTTATTTTTATGGCTAATAAATATATACCACATGGGTCCAACCTTGATCAATCTGATCACTGGAGATAGTAGTTATGTTTTTAAGATTATTGTCTTATGAGATATATTAATTTTACATATTTGGGATTTTTATATGATTTTTTTTAATTTCTTCTTTTATTTACTCTTTGATGGTACCTACTATTTATCATTTTTAATTTTAATATTGTCTGATGTAACTCTAATCATTCTAGACGTTTATGGAAATTTTAATTTTTATGAGCACACTGACCTTTTTTTTTATATACGATTTTGTATACATGTTTTATATACATTCTTTATATACATTATTTATTGTTGGTGTTTTTAGGTTGAGTTTATATGTACCTGTTAATATGGAACTCTAATAGTGTCTGCTTACTGTATTGAACTCCCTCCTTGCCGTGGCCGGATGATGTTATTATAAGTACTATTGACAACTCTTACCTTTTTATGGGATATATAAAACTCCAGGAATTTAATAGAATACCTCCCCGGGATTGTACTGAAATATATATTTAGGTGCACAATCAGTAGTAGGTCATAATGTGTGACCAGCTACAGGTTAATTTCCCTGGGTTCTGTGGCGTCTATCGCCGTCTGTTTTCACATGCTAGACAGGGAGTTACTGCCTATGCGTCTCTTCAATCGCGGATCCACGGCAAAATGGCGCTTTCGGGAGCGTGCATGCGCATTCCATATTCTCGGAAAAAATGGTGGCGGCTTAATGCGCACGCGCCATTTCTCCTATTTATACTACTGACGTCTGTCACGCTACTGTTCAGCCTCCCCTCTGATGATGTGCCATAGCACGAAAGGCCTTAGGAGGAGCTGACAGAGCGTGACGTCATTTGCCGCCGGAGCCACAAGGAAGCCCGGCGGCCATCTTTTAAAGGGTCAGTGCTGCAATAATTTTTAATGTGCAGTTTCTATTGTGCTCCACTCTGCATGCTACCCTGAATTTTACCTTACCTTAATAAATCATCTTTGTTGAGAAAATACTACATTATTGGCACTTGTTTTTTTGGCTCCTATGTGGAGCAATTAAACCCACAGAGAGTTCCTTTGATATCCAGCATTCAGAGGAGGGAGACCTGTATCCAGGCTGAGCGCTCGCCTATCCTTAAGGGCACCTCTGGACCCAGCAGATTCTCATACTAACCCAAGCTTGATGACCATTACCTAGAAGGAATTCACCATCCGTCCATCACAGATCATTACCTGGTGGTTATATACTTATATGCACATTATCCATGCGCTTTCGGTGAGTGCGCATTTCTTCCATTGATTCCAGTCACAAGTTTATTGAGATATCTGCCTCATAGGAGATCATGACATGTGCCATTTGTTGAACTTTACTTATTGATCGCGTGAACTCACATCCAGTTACTAATTTATTGATATATTTATTAAGCGCTGCACTTTATTATATTTATTGCTATTTTAAAGGTTACTGTGGTTACCTTGAGTGTTTCAGCTGCTAGCCACAAAGAGCGCTCACTATATCACTATTTATCTGATTGTAATGCATATAGTTTGTGGATGCTATAACGTTCACACAGGCTAAATAATATAAAAATGATTTGGGTAATTTTTACCAAAGATACACTATATTGCCAAAAGTATTGGGATGCCTGCCTTTACACACACAAACTTTAATCGAAGTCTGGATCCATAGGGTTCAATGTTGACTTGGCCCACCCTTTGCAGCTATAACAGCTTCAACTTTCCTGGGAAGGCTGTCCACATGGTTTAGGAGTGTGTCTATGGGAATGGTTGACCATTCTTCTAGAAGAGCATTTGTGTCAGGGATCCCCTCGATCCCTGCCGCGATGGTCCCGGCGCAGGCGCACTGCTCCGCCCTGTACACGGGCACTAGGTCCGGGCCGGCCGCGGCGTTTGAGTTCGCGCATGCCCGCTGGGCACCAATGGCAGCGCAGGGCGGGATATTTTAAAGGTCCCTGAGCTGTCATTTCGTTGCCTTCTGGTCTTACCTGCTTCCTGTGATTCTGTACCTGTGCCTTGTAAGTTTATTGACCCGGATTGTTCTTGACCTGCTGATTTCTCCTGCCCAGACCCTTGCTTGCCTGACCTCTCTCCCTGGATGCCCCTCATTAGATCTGACCTCCTGTTGCTGACCTGGCGTGTGACCCGACGATTCTCTGCCTGCTCCCTTGTACCTTACCGTCCTCTACGTTACCAACTCGGCCTGTCTGACTTCGCACTTGCTCAGCCATCCATCCATCCATCCCATCGGGGTCACCCGACCTCCTCACATCTGGCTCTCCCTGGTTGGAGCCCCTGGCGAACACCCCTACCACTGACAGGTGTGCTCAGTAGTGGCGACCTGGTCTCGGGGTACTACAAGTCCATCCCCACCATCAGGGGCCCTGGTGAACAAGTACCCTGGGGCTTAGACTCCGCGCTCTGGGCACGCCTGACCAGTGGAGTGCTAGCGGTGCCGCTCGGCGGTCCCTCACAGTACCAGAAGGCCATGACTGAGCCTCGAGGAGGACCCTCCCCGTTGGACGAGGTTTGCAGGCACCTGGCTACCCTGACGCAAGCAGTAAACACATTACAGGACAGATGTTTGCAGATCGAGAATCGGTTTCAGGCCTGCACCATATCTGCTCCTGTTTCACAGGCCCCGGCTCCTGCACCGCCGGTCGCAGCAGCCCACGGGCCGGCTCCTGGGCCTTCCACATCACTCCCTATGGCGGAACCCCGAGTACCCTTATCCCGAGCGCTTCCACGGGGATCGCACACACTTTCGGTCATTCCGTGACTCCTGCCTGCTCTACTTTGAACTGCAACCACGGACCTTTTTGACAGAATCGGTGAAAGTGGGGTTTGTTATCTCCCTGTTGCAGGGAGAACCCCAAGACTGGGCCCACCGACTAAGGGGAAATAATGATCCTCATCTGGTTACGGTTGACAACTTCTTTAACGCTATGGCCATCTTATACGATGACCCACAACGGGCGGCCTCGGCCGAGGCCACATTATACGCACTCCGACAAGGTCGGTGGGCGGCGGGCGGCTGAGGAATACGCCTCTGACTTTAGGCGCTGGATGGGTGACACTCGTTGGAACGAGTTCGCACTTTTGCACCAGTTCCGTATGGGCCTTTCTGAGGCTCTGAAAGACGAGCTCGCCCGGTGGAGGTGCCCGAGACATTAGAGGACTTGATTGCACTCACCATTAAAATTGACCGTAGGCTACGGGAGCGCAGATTGGAGAGGTCTGGTCAGGGTCGCGGAAATACCTGGGGGTCTTTCCAAGGATCCAGTCAACATACTAGGCCAAACATCCAGAACCTGCCGCCTGAAGATGCTCCCGAACCCATGCAGCTAGGCCTGGCACGGCCTAAACTATCGCCAGAGGAACGCCAGCGCAGACGCTCCCAGAATCTGTGTCTCTACTGCGGTGAAGCGGGTCACATGGTACGTTCCTGCCCGCAGAAACTGAGTAAGTTCACCTCATCTTCTTTATCTATTGGCAATATGAATCCGTCCCAATACTTAGTTGTTCCCCTCTCCTTTCAGCTTTCAGAAAGGACCGTGGAGGTGACGGCCATAGTTGATTCGGGGGCATGCAGCTGTTTTGTGGATATCAATTTTGCTCACCAGCAGGGTATCCCCCTCCGCCCAAAGGAGAAGGGGTTTTACATCTTTTTGGCTGATGGCTCCCGGATAAAGTCAGGGGTGGTTAACCAGGAGACCCCTTCCATTGTGACTTCTATTGCCGGTCAGCACCGGGAACTCCTCCGCCTGGATGCTATTGCATCACCCCTTTTCCCAGTCATTCTGGGGCTCCCATGGTTGCGGGCCCATAACCCCCAAATTGACTGGGAAACTGGGGTTGTCTCGTTCCCTTCCCCATACTGTCGGGAACTGTGTCGAACTTCGGGCCCAGAGGTCCCCCAGGTCCTCCTGTGCTCTGAAGGGGATGCCAGCCTAAAACAAGTGATTCCTGCAGCCTATCATAAGTTTCTTGATGTGTTCAGTGAATGGGGAGCAGATGCTCTACCCCCCCCGCCCATATGACTGTCCTATTGATCTGTTACCTGGTTCTGAAATTCCTTTCGGGCAAATTTTTCCCCTTTCTGAGCTAGAATTAGGGGCCCTGAAGGATTATATTGAGGACAGCCTCCGGAAGGGATTCATCCGTCCCTCCACTTCCCCAGCAGGTGCAGGGATCTTCTTTGTAGAAAAGAAGGACAAGACTTTGAGCCATGTATTGACTATCGGGAGCTGAATAGGGTCACAGTTAAAAATCGTTACCCATTACCACTGGTACCTGAATTATTCCAGAGCTTAAAAGCTGCAGTAGTATTTACCAAGCTGGACTTAAGGGGAGCCTACAACTTGGTTCGCATAAGGGAGGGGATGAGTGGAAAACGGCCTTCCGCACCCGTTTCGGCCATTTCGAATACCTGGTCATGCCTTTCGGGTTGTGCAATGCGCCGGCCACCTTCCAGCACTTTGTAAACGACATCTTTAGGGACTTCCTGGACATCTTTGTCATCGTCTACTTAGACGACATTTTGATTTTCTCATCCTCCCTGGGGGAGCACAGGGTACATGTAACAAAGGTGTTGGGGCGGTTGCGGCAGCACGGGTTGTACGCTAAAGCGGAGAAATGTTGCTTTGAACAGGCTAGTGTTACATTTCTGGATCTGATTATCTCCACCACGGGGGTCGCAATGGACCCTCAGAAGGTCTCTGCGATCCTTGATTGGCCTGAACCCACGGACAGGAAAAGCGTCCAACGTTTTATTGGGTTCGCAAACTTCTACCAGAAGTTCATCAAGAACTTCTCGGGTCTGGTCTCCCCCATCACTCAGTTAACCAAGCTTGGGACGCGATTCAGATGGACGCCAGAGGCACAGGAAGCTTTTGAAGCACTAAAGAAGTTATTTACCTCGGCACCCATTCTGGGTCATCCCGACGCCTCCCTGCCCTACATCTTAGAAGTAGATGCATCAGAAAACGCGGTTGGCTCCATCCTTTCCCAGCGAAAGGGCGCCAAGGAATTACTTCACCCAGTAGCATTTTTCTCACGGAAACTTACCCCTGCGGAGAGGAACTACGACATTGGGGATCGAGAACTACTGGCTATCAAGACCGCATTAGAAGAATGGAGGTACCTGCTGGAAGGTGCCTCCCATCCCATCCTGATATTCACGGACCACAAGAACCTGGAATATCTGAGGACGGCCAAACGTCTGCGCCCACGACAAGCAAGATGGGCATTGTTTTTCTCGAGGTTCCAGTTCCACATCACATACAGGCCCGGTTCAAAAAACACGAAGCCAGATGCGTTGTCGCGCATGTACGAGGACACCAAGGAGATCCCAGTACCCGACACTATTCTTCCTGCAGGAAACTTCTTGGCTCTTCAGACGAACCTTCGCTCCGAGATCCTGAGAGCGTCCACAGCGATGTCTACCTCCGATGGGGCGCCCCTCCGGAACAAGGAGGGACTCCTATGGAGGGAGGACCGGATTGTGGTGCCGGAGGATGCCCGAACCTTAGTCTTGGGACATTGCCATGACCACCCAATGGCAGGACATTTTGGCCCGGTCAAGACCCTGGAACTTTTCCGACGTTCCTTCTGGTGGCCGGACATGGCCAAGGATTGTAAAAGTTACGTGGGCTCCTGTGCCATCTGCCAGCGGAACAAGCCTTCAAGAAATAAGGCGTGGGGCCTGCTACGTCCATTACCCATCCCTGAACGGCCCTGGCAGAAAATCTCTATGGACTTTATAGTCGAGCTTCCACCTTCACTGGACCACATAGCAATTCTCGTGGTCGTGGACCGCTTATCCAAGATGGCCCATTTCATTCCTTTACGAAAGACTCCATCAGCAGCCGAGACGGCGCAAGTTTTTATTCGAGAGGTCGTTAGACTGCATGGGGTTCCCGAAGACATCGTCTTGGACCGAGGGGTGCAGTTTACCTCGAGATTTTGGAGGGCATTGTGCAAAGCCCTGGATATCAAGCTATCCCTTTCCTCGGCATTTCACCCTCAGACTAATGGTCAGACCGAAAGGACCAATCAGACCCTAGAGCAATACCTGCGATGATACACATCATTCTCTCAGGACGACTGGGTGCCACTTCTCCCTTTGGCGGAATTCGCGTACAACAACGCTTGCCATTCAGCAACTGGGCAGTCCCCGTTCTTCTCCAACTATGGGTTTCATCCTGTCTTCCTCCCGGATTTAGTCCCGGAATGCCCAATTCCAGCGACACAGGATGCACTAGCCTTCTTCACTTCAAACAATAAAAAACTACAGGAAGCCATCCGTCAAGCCCAAGAAGACTACAAGAGGGCTTTTAATAGGAAGCGAAGAGGAGATCTGGTGTTGCAGCCCGGAGAGAAGGTTTGGCTGGCTACGTCGAACTTGAAGATGCTCTGCCCGTCAAAAAAGTTGGGACCTAAATTTATAGGCCCTTTTTGCATCAAACGGATGGTCAATGAAGTGGCCTATGAACTTGTTCTCCCTGAGACACTCAAGATCCACCCTGTCTTCCACGTGTCCCTGTTGAAGCCGGTAGTCCCTGATGCCTTCCCGGAACGGGAATCCAGGCCCCCGGAGGCCGTAACGGTTGAAGAGGAAGAAGAATTCGAGGTGGAGGCAATCCTGAAGTGCCGACGAAGGGGGGGCCAGACCCAATTTCTCATCAAGTGGAAGGGCTACGGCCCTGAGGACAATTCGTAGGAACCAGCCCATAATGTTCATGCACCTAGACTTGTCCGGAGGTTTCTTTGTGATCACCCGTGGTGGAGAGATCGGGTGGGCATCCAGAGGTTGCCCGTAGGGGGGGGGCAATGTCAGGGATCCCCTCGATCCCTGCCGCGATGGTCCCGGCGCAGGCGCACTGCTCCGCCCTGTACACGGGCACTAGGTCCGGGCCGGCCGGCGCGGCGTTCGAGTTCACGCATGCGCAGTAGAAGCCGCGGCCGCCCGCTGGGCACCAATGGCAGCGCAGGGCGGGATATTTAAAGGTCCCTGAGCTGTCATTTCGTTGCCTTCTGGTCTTACCTGCTTCCTGTGATTCTGTACCTGTGCCTTGTAAGTTTATTGACCCGGATTGTTCTTGACCTGCTGATTTCTCCTGCCCAGACCCTTGCTTGCCTGACCTCTCTCCCTGGATGCCCCTCATTAGATCTGACCTCCTGTTGCTGACCTGGTGTGTGACCCGACGATTCTCTGCCTGCTCCCTTGTACCTTACCGTCCTCTACGTTACCACCAACTCGGCCTGTCTGACTTCGCACTTGCTCAGCCATCCATCCATCCATCCCATCGGGGTCACCCGACCTCCTCACATCTGGCTCTCCCTGGTTGGAGCCCCTGGCAAACACCCCTACCACTGACAGGTGTGCTCAGTAGTGGCGACCTGGTCTCGGGGTACTACAAGTCCATCCCCACCATCAGGGGCCCTGGTGAACAAGTACCCTGGGGCTTAGACTCAGCGCTCTGGGCACGCCTGACCAGTGGAGTGCTAGTGGTGCCGCTCGGCGGTCCCTCACAATTTGTGAGGTCAGGCACTGATGTTGGATGAGAAGGCCTGGCTCGCAGTCTCCGCTCTAATTCATCCCAAAGGTGTTCTATCAGTTTGAAGTTCAGGTCAGTCAACTTCCTCCACTCCAAACTTGATCATCCATATCTTTATGGACCTTGCTTTGTACAGTGGTGCCAAGTCATGTTGGAACAATAAGGGGACATCCCAAAACTGTTCCTACAAAGATGGGAGCATCAAATTTCCCAAAATGTCTTGATATGCTAATGCCTTAAGAGTCCTCTTCACTGAAACTAAGAGGCCAAACCCACCCCCTGAAAAAATACCCCACACCATAATTCCCCTTCCACCAAACTTTACACTTGGAACAATGCAGTCAGGGAAGTACTGTTCTCATGGAAACCACCAAACCCAGACACATCCATCAGATTGGCAGACAGAGAAGAGTGATTGGTCACTCCAGAAAACATGTCTCCATTGCTCTAGAGTCCAGTGTGGCGTGCTTTACACCATTGCATCTGACGCTTTGCATTGCACTGGGTGATGTAAGGCTTGGATGCAGATGCTTGGCCAATTGAACCCATTCCATGAAGCTCTCTTTGCACTGTTGTGCTAATCTGAAGGCCACATGAAGTTTGGAGGTCTTTAGCTATTGACTCTGCAGAAAGTTTGCGACTTCTACGCACTGTACGCTTCAGCATGCGCTGATCCTGCTCTGTCCTTTTAGGTGGCCTATCACTTCGTGGCTGAGTTGCTGTTGTTCCCAATTGCTTCCACTTTGTTACATACACTTCTCAAAAAAAATAAAGGAACACTTTGAAAACACATCCGATCTCAATGGGGAAAAATATCATGCTGGATATCTATACTGGTATGGACTGGGTAATGTGTTAGGAATGTAAGGATGCCCCATCATTTGATGGAAATGAAAATTATCAACCTACAGAGGACTGAATTCAAAGACACCCCAAAAATCTAAATGAAACAGTTATGTAGCAGGCTAGTCCATTTTGCTGAAATTTCATTGCATTAACTAAAGTTGGTACTCAGTAGTTTGTATGGTCCCCACGTGCTTGTATGCATGCCTGACAATGTCGGGGCATGCTCTTAATGAGGATCTGGACCAGGGCATCACTTAGCTTCTGGAAAGTCTGAAGTGCAACCTGGCAGTGTCGGATGGACCGAAACATGATATCCCAGAGGTTTTCTATTGGATTTAAGTCAGGCGAGCGTGGGGGCTGTTCAATGGTATCAATTCCTTCATCCTCCAGGAACTGCCTGCATACTCTCACCACATGAGACCGGGAATTGTCATGCACCAGGAGGAACCCAGGACCCACTGCACCAGCGTAGGGTCTGACAATAGATCCAAGGATTTCATCTTGATACCTAATTGCAGTCAGGGGGCCATTGTCTAGCAGCACACATGACGTGTTTGTGTTCAATTCATTTTTAGTCTAAAAATGAATTGAACGCAAACACGTCATGTGTGCTGCGATTTGCCACTGCCAACATTGTAGTATGATTTGGAATCGTGGCACACAGTCCCAAAATCGCTAGATGTGAACAGGGTCTTAATGACAGTGACTGAGGTTGGGCTAAGTCTTCCAGTGCTGTTGCATCAGGTCCTGGGCCAGTTCACTAAACATTTTAGTGGCACCTCAAAACACAGGGTGATTTTGGAGTGTTTGTTGTGTGATAAATTGCCTAAAAGTCTCAACAAAATCACACCACATTTTGATGCCACTAAAAATTAATGGAACACAAACACGTCATGTGTGCTGGGTTTTGCCAGCATTGCAGTATGATTTGGAATTACAGGCAGAATCACAGCGATTCCACCACACGATCTCAAATCTCTAGATATGAACTGGCCCAGGCAGGGCCAGGGCCTAACATCACAGCAGTGGAAGATTCAGCCCAGCCTCAGTCACCAACTTTGCTGGTTTCTAATTTTTCCACTGAATGAAATTCATTAACACACAGCAGTGGTAAACTAGCCTGGCCCTGAGGAGAACACAAGAGGGACACAGTCACATACCTGTCCTGAACTCCTGGACTGACACTGACTGGAGCACGTCATCCACGTGGTGGACAGCGTTCTGCACTGATGTAGGACCCAGGCAATCTCCTTCCCCAAGCTAAAGGCTGGAAGCAGAACTGTGCATCCAATAATAATGGTGGTGGGTGGGGCAGACGTTCCCCCTCTGCTCAGTTGGCATGGCAACAGGGCAGCAACCAGAATGGAACTGCAAGGAGGAGGAGCCAATGGCAAGTGGAGATGGGTGGGATAGGCGCTCAGTGTTCCTGCTGCTTTGGACGATGTGGGGGGTGCAGGATGTATCACTGTGACACAGTCCACTCCAGACTCAGCTGACAGCTTCCTCCTCCCTCAGCCAGTCCATGGCCCAACCCAAGCCTGACAGGCTCAGTAGAGACTACAGAGCCCACACTGTTTAGGAACATTAAATCTCATTTTCCACATAGTTGACCAAATTAAACATTGCATTGAGGTCGGCTTGTAAATTGGAGACATCCTGTAAGGACGCTATTCTACTGCAAAGCCTGGTGTCATCTGCAAAGACTGAAATTGTATTTTTAATCCCAGACTCTATATCATTTATAAATGTATTAAAAAGTAAGGGTCCCAACACTGAACCTTGGGGTACACCACTGACAACCCTACACCATTCAGAGTATGAATCATTAACACTACACATTAGCCATGTGTGGGGAACTGTGTCAAACGCTTTTGCAAAATCCAAGTATACCACGTTCACAGCCACTCATCTGTCAGAGGTTTTGCTCACCTCCTCATAATCAGATTTGTTTGACAACTTCTGTCTTTCCTGAATCCATGCTGTCTGTTGCTTAAAATATGTTTTTCCTAACTAACAGGTCTATAACTACTTGGTAAAGATTTTGACCCCTTTTTAAATATAGGCACCACATTGGCCTTAAGCCAATCCAGTGGTACTATGTCAGTCATTAAAGGGTCCCTAAAAGTTACAAACAATGGCTTTAAAATGACAGAGCTCGATTCTTTAAAGACCCATGGGTGTATGCCATCCTGTCCAGGTGCTTTATTCATCTTTATTCTGTCTACATATTTCTGGATCATATAAGTTGTGAGCCAATGTGGATCATCAGGGGACGTGTCAATGCCATGCTCATTATGGACAAGAGCTCCCCCCATGCTCCTTTGTAAACACAGAGCTGAAGAAGGTATTTAATAAATTTGCCTTCTCTTTGTCCCCAGTCACCCACTCTAGATTAATAAAAATGTGCTTACTTGTGAGCTACTATGGTAGATCGTGATTCAATTAATCAATTTATTAAATAAATAAACCCACCTGTGGTTCGCTGACACTCACACTAACTCATCAAATAGTGCTATGTAACTGAAAATAATAATAAAGCAGTGTCGCGCTCTCATATATTAATATAAATTAAATAAAGATAAATATTAATTAATAAAAATTATACTGTGTATCACATATATCACTCTATAAAGATGTCAATGTGGTAATTAATCTTAGTGAAAACAAAAATCATCATATAAATATATCCAAGTCCATATTTAAATATAAAAATTAAATAAAAATAAGAATTAGAAAAAATAGTAGAAAAAATAATAATTTTATTATTTTTTCTACTATTATTTCTAATTCTTATTTTTATTTAATTTTTATATTTAAATATGGACTTGGATATATTTATATGATGATTTTTGTTTTCACTAAGATTAATTACCACATTGACACCCACTCTAGATTACTTTGTAAAGTGCCTACATGCACGGACCTGACCTTTTTACTATTAATATATTTGAAGAATTTTTGGGGGTTTGTTCTGCTATCTGTTGCAATCTGTCGTTTGTTTTAAATTTTTGTAGCCTTTATTTCCTTTTTCAATATTCTTTTATATTCTTTGTAAATATTAAACAATGATAGCGTTCCTTCATTTTTATATTTAATAAAAGCTCTTTTGTATTATCTATAGCTTTTTTTAACTTTGTCCGTAAGCCACATAGGTTTTGGTTTTTAGTCTTTTAAGCTTGTTGCCCATGGGAATATATTTTTGTAGTGTGTTTCACATACAGTCTGCTTGGAGAGCAGCTCTTGGCCTTGGAAAATTAGCTCTATTAAAGTTGAGCATTTGTATTTTTCCCATATGTGCTTGTTGTTTACAGCTAACAATAAATTAAATCATGTTATGGTCACTACTACCCAGATTTTCTTTTATATGGACATTGGTAATAAGCTCTGCATGGTTTGAGATTACCAGGTCCAGCAGAGCATCATTCCTAGTTGGGCCCTCTATGAACTGTACCATAAAATTGTCTTGTAGTAGGTTTATACATTTTTGTCCCTTTCACTGTTTCTGCAGTGCCATTACTTCAGTCAATTTCTGGGTAGTTAATATCCTCCATAATACCACTAACAGTTGACTGTGGAATATTTAATAGCACAGAAATTTCACGGATGGACATATTGCACAGGTGGCATGCTTGAATTCAATGAGCTCCTGAGAGCGACCCATTCTTTCACAAATGTTTGTAGAAGCAGTCTGCATGCCTAGCTGCTTGATTTTATACACCTGTGGCCATGGAGGTGATTTGAACAGCTGAATCCAGTGATTTGGAGGGATGTCCCAGTACTTCTGGCAATATTTTGTATGTAGCAGAATAGACTTTTGGCTTAAATTATGTACAATTTTTTTACAGAAAATAATAAAAAACTTTGTTTTTCCAAAATGTACTGTCTTTTTTCCTTTATATAGCAAAAAATAAAAAGACAGTGGTGAATAAATACCACCTAAAAGAAAGCACTACCTGGCTCAAAAATTATACATTTTCATTTATGCACAAAGTTGTATGACTGAGTAATTGTCATTCAAAATGTGAAAGTGCTAAAGTTGAAAAATGGCCTGGGCAGGAAGGGTGAGAAATAGTCACATCTTGAAGTCAATAAAGTGAATAATAGAAAATGCCTTTAAATTCCTTTAAATAACATGCCTGGAAG